GTCTATGTGCTCAGTGCTGTGGTTTGAACGCAGGTCCTCATGCTTGCAAGACAAGTGCTTGTACTGACTGAGCCACTCCCCAGGTTGAGATATAAGTTTTGGGGGAGTTACTAGAAGCCCTTCCTTGGGGGTGGACTGACTCAGGGCCTGAGAAGCCATACAAAACCAACAGTTCAAAATCCGTGGGCAGAGAGGACATGAAGAACAAAGGCTCTGCTGTTGGAGGCAGGTAAGGGTGTAAGTAGATGAGGCCATTGTGAAAGTGGAGTGGCAAAGACTTGGTCCCTGACTCACGGTGGTGTGGCTCAGAGCCGCACTCTCCCCAGCTCCTGAGTTCTGGGATCTTTGGTGTCCCTCTCTGTTTGCCCTTGCTCACGGGCAGCCCTCAGTCTGGACTTGGGTGAGGCCAGCTGACGTCCTCAGCAGCAGATTCTTCAATGCCAGGCTCTCAGCCGTGTGTGTGCTGACTTGTTCATGACAGATGTCACGGGGCATTGCCATCAATAATGACGAAAACACTACAGGGGCTGGAGAGATGGCGCAGCAGTTAATGCTTTTGTTTTGTTTTTTAATTTATTTATTTATTTTGAGACAGAGTTTCTCTGTGTAGTTCTGGCTGTCCTGGAACTCAGGCTGGTCTTGAACTCAGGAATTTGCCAGCCTTTGCCTCCCGAGTCCTGGGATTAAAGGTGTACACCACCATCAGCCAGTCAGTTAAGGCTCTTGCAGAAGACCCAGGTTGGTCCTCAGCACCCACATGGCAGCTCACACCTCCAGTAAATCCTCTTCTGGCCTTAGCAGGTACCAGACACACACAAACTGTGCAAGGATACGCATGCAAGCAAAAATATCCATACACATAAAATAAAATAATAAATAAATATTTTTTAAAAGAAGAAAATATGTATTGCAGATTCAGGGTTCTGCCCAGTGTTCCAGTCCAGGGTGGAGAGGAAGGGACCGGTGTGTGTGTTGTTTGTGTGTGGTAGTGGTGTTCTGTCTGGAGTGGGTAGCCTCAGTCTGCCTCTGTGATGTGTGTTGGTGGGTAGGGGTCATCCTCCAGGACCTGGGTACTCAGTGTGGACATAGTGTATTCTACAGACAGGCAATGCCTGTGCACCAACACCTCTATTTGCAGGGTATTTGTTGGTGGCCAAGCAAGGGGCTGGCTTGCTAACTGCAGGCAATATAGGGGCAGCTGCAGGGATCCTTTTGTCCAGCAGGGGGCGGTGCAAGCTCTTAAAAGCCCAGTATACCTGGGCACCATTAGCTTGGATCTCCAGAAGGGGGATGTGAGCTGCTGCTGTGGTGGAGGCCGCTGCTGCTGCTGCTCTCAGGGAGCAGCAAGGTGAACTCCAGGGAACAGAGGTCATCCGATTTCCTCTTCTAACTGGATGGTACCTGCGGGGAATAAAGGGGGAATGCCTACAGGTTCTTACTGCATTTTATTTTCTTTTCCTAGGTTTTGTTTGATGTGTTTCAATCTCTCAATTGTTTTTCAATCACTTTGTTTTGTGTGTTTGTGTGCACAAGTGTGTGGAGGTCGACATTGTCTTCTCCTATCCTTTCCACCTTTGTTTTTAAAAAATACTTCTGTGTGTGTGTGCGTGTGTGCGTGTGTGTGTGTGTGTGTGTGTGTGTGCGCGCGCGTGCTCGTGCGCGCGCGCACGCGCGCGCGCGCATGGGTGAAGACAACTTTTGGGAGTCAGTGCTCTCTCTATGTGGGCCCTGGGTGATTACACGCCTGTGCAGCCAAATCTAGCTTTTACATGGTGCCAGAAACTAAACCCAGGTCCTCATGCCTCTGAAAGGGCTTTCTTTACCAAGTGAGTCATCTCCCCGGCCACATTTTTCTAACTTTCTGAGAAATATTTCAAACATAGAAGAAAGATGGAGCAGGGCAGTGGTGGCGCACGCCTTTAATCCCAGCACTCGGGAGGCAGAGGCAGGTGGATCTCTTTGGGTTCCAGGCCAGCCTGGTCTATAGATCGAGTTCCAGGACAGGCTCCAAAGCCACAGAGAAACCCTGTCTCAAAACCATAAATAAATAAGTGTGATTACCCACACACCTCTTCCTGGACTCTATCATGAGTCCACCAACTGTCAGGCTCTCTCCAGACAAATATTATTGACTAATTCATTAATTTGTCTTTGAGACAGAGTCTTATGTAGCCAAAGCTACCCTCAAACTCATTATATAGCCAAGGCTGGCCTTGAGCTTCTGATCCTTCTGCCTCCATATCCTGAGGGCTGAGATTACAGGCATGTGCCACCAGACCTAGCTACCGAGACACAGTTTTAATAAGTTGCAGACATCAGTTCGCATGACCTTCACTCCCCTCTGCTCATGTTTCTTTAACCACAGTGATTCTCTTTCCACATTTTTGTGCCGCTCAGACGTTGGGCGTGCCGTCCTGAGAATTTTGATAGGTAAATGCACTGTGTGTCCTGCCTGCAGCCACAACACCGAACACTGGCATCGTCCCCGGGAGTCCCCCTG